GAAAGAAAGAAAGAAAGAAAGAAAGAAAGAAAGAAAGAAAGAAAGAAAGAAAGAAAGAAAGAAAGAAAGAAAGAAAGAAAGAAAGGAAGGAAGGAAGGAAGGAGGGAAGAGGGAAAGAAAGAAAGAAAAAGAAAAGAAAGGAAAGAAAGAAGGAAAGAAGGAAAGAAAGAAAAGAAAGAAGGAAAGAAAGAAAGGAAAGAAGGAAGGAAGGAAAGAAAGAAGGAAGAAAAGAAAGAAAGGAAAGAAAGAAGGAAAGAAAGGAAAGAAAGAAAACAAAGAAAGAAAAGAAAAGAAAGAAGGAAAGAAGGAAAGAAAGAAAGGAAGAAAAGAAAGAAGGAAAGAAGGAAAGAAAGAAAGGAAGGAAAGAAAGAAAGAAGGAAGCAAAGAAAGAAAGAAGGAAGGAAAGAAGGAAAGAAAGGAAAGAAAGAAAGAAGGAAGGAAGCAAGGAAAGAAGGAAAGAAAGAAAGAAGGAAAGAAAGAAAGAAAAGAAAGGAAAGAAGGAAAGAAAGAAAGACAGAAAGAAAGAAAAGAAAAGAAAGAGCAAGCGAGCCAGGGGTTTAGCTCAGTGGTTCTGTGGCCGCCTGCCTCACAAGAGGAAGGACCTGAGTTCGATCCCCGGTACCAAAAAAACCCCCCCAAAAAACCCAGTAGGGATTTGTAGCTGGGTGTGGAGGTGTACACCTGTAATCCCAGTGCTCAGGAGGCTGAGGCAGGATCACTGTTTGAGGCCAGCCTGGCTACATAGCAAGACCCTGTCAAAAACAAAAACAAACAAACAAAAAGAGGCAAGGAAAAAGAAAAACAAAGAAAGGATTTGTAATTTTCACAATACCATGTGCTCGGGCTTGCCCACTGCCATCATCTTTAGCTACCATCTCCACTGATTTACAATCTTCAAAATGGGCTAGTGTTTCATTGGAAGATTTCCATTCTAGTATTAGTGAGCTGAAATTATCAAATTTTCTTCTGTGCCGATCAAACACTGTGAGCTCCAGGACTGTGTCCCTCAGGTTTGATATAGGAATCTGCATTAAAATAAAAAATAATGAAAAAAAAGTTTAAAAAACAAATAGCCCTAGAGGTTGCCTGCTGTTTCCTGCATTCTTCCTGCCCTGCCACAAGCTATTTCTCCTCTGTGATGCCCCTCTGCCATGCCACCCTGCCTCGCATCCAGCTGGCTATGGACTGAAGCATCTACACACTGGGCTAAATAAACCTTTTCTCCGTTAATGTTTGGGTGTCAGGCATTTTGTTCCAGCGAGGAACAAAGTAACTAAGATATACATGAAGCAAAAACTGACAATTGAAGGGAGAAACTGACAATTCACTGATAATGGGTGGACACCTTGGTATCCACTTTCATGATGGACAGAACAGGCAGACAGAAGTTCAACCAGGAAACTGAAGACACGAACCCACTAGGCCTAACAGACACCGATGGGACACCTTGAAACACAGCCTCGAAGTGCTCGGTCCAAGAAACAGGCCAAGATTCTAAACCACAAGAATCTTGTGTCTTAGCTGCCCAGAGATCTAACACCACAGTGACAAGTGTCAGATCCTAAATATATTTAAAGCACGTCTAACTGTATTTAAATAAATGAGTTGAACCATATATACAAATCAAAAAAACAAAACAAAGCAAACAAACAAACCCCAAACAACAGCGAGATACACTGTTACGTGCTCATGGAGCACCCTCCAGGATAGACTGTGTGTTTGGACATAAAACAAGTCTCAACAAAAGGATTTAAATCAGAAAGGTTGTGGGTCAGGGATGTGGCTCAGTGGCACCGCACCTGCCTGGCAAGAGCATGGTCCTGAGTTCAATTCCCAGTACTGCAAAAAAAAAAAAAAAAAGAAAAGAAAAGAAAGGTTGGGCTGGGGATTTTAGCTCAGTGGTTCCGCCGCCTGCTTCGCAAGCATAAGGTCCCGAGTTTGATCCCCAATACCCCCCAAAAAAGAAAGAAAGGTTGTTTTTCAACAACAATGGAATGAAATTAGAAATCAGTAACAGGAAATTTGCAATATTCACAAATGCACAGACATTAAAACACTCCTAAGGGCTGAGGATTTAGCTCAGTGGTTCTGCCACCTGCCTTGCAAGCCTGCCTTCCTAAGTTCAATCCCCAGTATCAAAAAAAAAAAAAAAAAACCACTTCTAAATAACAAGTAGGCCGAAAAAGAAATTACAAAGTAAATTAGAGCCAGGCATGGTGGGATACACTTGTAATCCAGCATTTGGGAAGCTGAGGCAGGAGGATTGCTGAGTTCAAGGCCAGCCTGAACTATATGAGAACCTGTCTCAAACTTTCCCAGAAACACAAGAACACCCTATTCTGCTGCCTCTCACAAGCAAGGGTGTGGTTGACCTACCCAACTCCCAACCCCCTTTCCTGACTACCTTGCTGTCACTCACAGTGTATGTCTCAGTAAATTTCCTTCTGCACTTACTCTACTCTGGGTAAATTCTTCTACTGCTCACATCACAACCTTCCTTGTACTGTCATCCATGACAAAAGAGAAGGTATTAGTACTGTTATTCCAGAACAGGGTTATAAGGAAATACAACAAACAACTATAGGCCTCAAATGACATAACTGAGAGCTGGGGATGCAGCTCAGTGGTGCTGCACCTGACTGGCAAGCACAAGGTCCCGAGTTCAATCCCTGGTACCTGGAAAAAACAAAGAAAAGAAAAGAAAAACAAATTATGTAACCAACCCGGGCCTGTAGTGTGCCTCTAGTCCCAGTATGTAGCAGGCTGAGATAGGAGGATTGCTTGAGACCAGTCAGCCTGAGCAACACAGTGAAACACTGGGTCTTAGAAAAAAATTAGATAACCTAGATGAAATGCATAATTTCCTAGAAAAACACAAATAATCAAAATTGATCCATTATTAAAAAATCTGACCAAACGATAAGCAATAAATTTAATAGTAATTTTTAAAAAACAAAAAAATTTAAAAACTAAAGATCAAAAGAAGCCACACAAACTTCCACAAAGAAAATTCCAAGAAGATGACTTCATTGATAACTCCTACAAGATGTTTAAAGAAGAATCAATAGCTGGGCTGGGGATTTAGCTCAGTGATTCCGGTGCCTGCCTCCCAAGAGCAAGGTCCTGAGTTCGATCCCCAGTAAAAAAAAAAAAAAAAAAAATTGAAGAATGAATAGCAATCCTTCCCAAACTTATCCCAAAATAGGAGTGAAAACCTCCCAAGTCATTTTACGAGGCCAGCCTTGCTCAGTTACTATATCAAAGACACTATCTAAAACTATCTAAGACTATATCAAAGATCCAGGTGTGGTGGTGCATGCCTGTAATCCCAGAGGCTGGGGCAGGAGGATCGCCCCAAGTTCAAGGCCATACTAGAATATACAGTGAGACACTGTATCCAAAAAAAATTTTAAAAAATCTCCAAATTAACAGCTGGGTGTAGTGGCACATCCCTGTAATCCCAGCACTCAGGAGGCTGAGGCAGGAGTATCTCCATGAGTTTGAGGTCAGCCTGAGCTACATAGTGATTTCAGAACCAGCCTGAACTGTATAGTGAGACCCTGTCTCACAAACAAATGAACAAATAAACCACAACCCCAACAAAAAAACCCCCAAATTAACAGAATAAGGAAAAGCATATGATCATCTCAAAAGATGCAGAAAGAGCCTTTGACAAAATGTAGTATCTTTAATAGTTAAAAACAGTAAATAACTGGGCTGGGGATTTAGCTCAGTGGTGCTGACCCCTGCCTTGCAAGCACAAGGTCCTGAGTTCGATACCCAGTACCCTCCCCAAAAAACAGAACAAAACAACCGTCAATAACCTTCTTTAGCCTATAAACAGTATCTGCACAATGCCTGATTCCAAGCTTCCTGTAAGACCAGGAATAATGTAAGGTTGTCTGCTTGGATTGCCTCTTGAACACTGTGCTGGAGGTTCTGGCCAGGGAAACTGAGCAAAAAAACCCAGTAAAGACATTTGGATTAGGGAAGGAGATGTACAACTATCACCATTTTCAAGCAACATGATTTTGTGTATAGGAACCCTGAGGATTCTCAAAACAAAGCAACTAATGGAATGAGTGAATACAACTGCATTCCAGATACAAGTTCAATATGCAAAACACAGTTGTATTTGTATACATTTGCAATGGACAATCTGTAAACGGATTATAGAAATAATGCCACGTATGATAGCACCAAAAATACAAACTATTTATGAATGTAACATTATGTAAAGGTACAAATTTCCAATGATGAATGTCATTATATTGTATACCTAAAATGTACCAATAAAATTTTAAAAATGAATAAATGTAACAAAAGAAATGCCAGACATGTACACTTTAAACTAGAAAACTCTGCGGAATGAAATTAGAGAACCCCTAAAGAAGCAGAAAGGACCCCCCCTTGTTCGTGCAATGGAAGGCAGTGTCACTGAGAGAGCAGTACTCCCCAGACGGACACGGTGCCGATGCAATTCCTCTCGAAACTGAGGCTACTGGAGCTTCTCTGCAGAGACAGATAAACCAGGCAGTGCTGCGGTGTGGACATGGCGGAGCGTCCCCAAGTCTTCATGTGCAGAAACTGAATCCCCATCGTGAAAATGAGCCTCGACTCCCCAGATGCCTACGCCGTACGTCTCCAGTGAAAGCAGATGCTTCAGCGTAAAGGCAGCCGGCCGAGAGCCTCAGAAACTGAGCTGGTGATACAGGGAGCCGTCTCTGAGCTCCCCGCTTGGCAGACAAAGGGCAAGGTCTGCACACCAGTCAAGCATAAACGGGTGACTTTACCCACATTATGCACTGTTACTTTTTTGTGTATTTATAACTTTTTAAATTAAATGTTTTCTTTTGATTTTTCTTATAGAATTAATTAGCCCAATTCAGTACAATGTCACATGAGAATCTGCTTTTACAACTTTGGGAGGAGGTGGAAAGTGAGTCATCAGGTGACTCAGCTCCCGATGATGACTTGGATCATTTTGAGCCAAAGAAGTTAGCAAGAATGACAGATAGAGAAGTGCAGAATGAGGACCCTGATTCAGATGAGGAAGAAAACAGTAATGTAAGTAAATATTTGAGAGGTCAAAATGCTACAAAATGGTTATGTACACCTGAAAGATCCGATGTTAGAACTAGTTCGGAAAATGTGATTAGGTTCTTGCCAGGGGTGAAACCTATTGGATGAAAAGCCAGCACTGGGATTCAAGGTTGGAAATTTATACACCGTCTGAACACATGACAATTGACAAACAACTTGCATCATTTCGTAGTTGTTGAAGATTTTGGCAATATATGCCAAGTAAACCTTCCAAATATGATACAAAAAAATATGCCCTGGTAAATGCAAAGACATTTTACACCTGGAATTTAGAAATTTATCCTGGAACTCAGCCACCAAGTCTTTGTGTAGTAATAAACCATATGACTTTGTTGTACCTATTTCAAAAAGTAACCCAAATGTCACACTCAACAGTTGGTTCCCTAGTTACCCACTGATGTTACATTTGCTAAAAGAACACCAGCTGAGCCGGGGCACTGCCTGCCTCACAAGCGCAAGGTCCCAAGTTCAATCCCTGGTACCAAAAAAATAAAAGAACACCAGTTGACCAGCACAGGAACTATTTGTAACAGCAAAGCAGAGATTCCTGAAAAATGCTGCAAGTTCACAACAGAGAAATGTACAGTGCAATCTTTGGATTTCAGAAAGACATAACGTTGGTGTCCTATATGGGGAAGAAAAAAGAGTAGTATCCATACTGTCAACATTACACCATGAAGCCAGCCATGGCGCATGCCTGTAATTCCAGCACTGAGAGGCTGAGGCAGGAGGACTGCCATGAATTTGAGGCCAGCCTGAGCTGCACAGCAAGATCTTGTCTCAAAAATAACAGCAACAACAATAAAAACAAAGAAAAGATTTTGTACATAGGGACAGGAGGGGGATTGGGATAAAACAAAATTCATTAAATAAAAAAAACAAACAAAATGGGTCAGGAATTTAGCTCAGTGGTACTGCTGCC